GAGCGAAAGTGCAAAGTGCCCCGCTTTTCCCCTTCCCCCCCAAGCCGAAGTGCGCCCAAGGCAGCTGACTCCAATGGAAAGATCTCCCAATACGCATCCGACACCGTGTGGAAATGAAGTACCATTATATCTGTGATATGGAGTGTACCTATCTGGCAGGGTGCCGTTCTCGAGATCCACGTTGGTGCGCCACAACTGAAGTAGCGTCGTAAACGGATCACGTGCATGGCACTTGTTAGAGAACCTGTTGTTTTGGTGCGGAAATGCTACATATAATTGAGCCAGGTAGCTCGGAAATACTAGCTGTTTGGACCGTGTCTCCACAGTTAGTATTTCCCAACTGACCCCCCCCCCTCCCCCACCGAAACCCTATGTGACAGTACCAGAACCCAATTTCGATGCGACGAGTGACAGCAATGTTGCACCATACAGAACTGCGTCAAGTGCAAGTGCTGTTAACAGGACGTCATAGTTTGGAAAGTACACGTAATATGGCGAAGACCTGAACCAAAGAGGGAGGACGCCTCCTCGATGCGTGATGTGCGAGGTGGTGGTGTAGGTACGACCCCTCTCCGAGAGAGGGTGTCAGTACGACCCCTCCCACCTAAATGAGGGTCTCGGTACGACCCCCCCTTCCCCAACACCTACCTACAATGCCCCCTCTCATTTTCCAGGTTTTTCACCCTCGAATTTTCCGTCGAGCGGGGGGAGGGTATATAGCCACTATGGCCAGTGTGAAAGGAGGAATTTCCCCGAACACTACCACTTTTTCCGAATTTCCCCGAACATTTTCCTGAAATTTTGCTGTCGAGCAGGGGGATATATAGTGCACATGAAACAGGAAAATTACGTAAAAAGTCAACCGGAAAACCAACGCGGACAAATTTCTGTCAATGGCACATACGACCCCCTCTCTCCCAACGACCAAACACGACCCTCCCTCCTCAGAGTAAAAGTACGACCCCCCCTCCCACGTGTTTCACACAACGATGCTGCACCCTGTACAGCAGCGTGTCAAGGTGCATAGCTAGTGAATGCACTCTTGTTCGCTGCGAATGTGTCAGGGGAGGGCTTGGCGCTGCACCAGCTTGTTTTCAACCAGTTATTGTGCACTTGCTCGCTTCAACAGTTACTGAAGAACGGGCAGGCACCGCGTCAAACCCTGCCGCTCTGATGCGCCCTATTATCCGCAGCTAGTTTGGCTGTACTTCCCTAGTTTGCACGCGACCTACCGGCTGGCATGTCCGGCATACCCACTGGGGAGGTACCCCACAGCCGGTCGTGAATGTGTATTGCTTTAACTTAGCGAATGCAAAGATCTTTCTGCAGCTTTCTAGGAGTTGAGTAAAAGGGGCGAATCACCAGTAATAGTGTGTAAATGTGACATAAGTTGAGCAAGGAGTGTGTAGAAGTTAACTGTTATAAGAAAAGTTATTTCCAAAACAATCTACTGCACTTGCGGAGAACGTGCTTGAAATGGTTCATAATTTTGTTCCAGATTTGCAAATCAGATCTAGGATTGAACTTGGAGGAAATCGAGCTCGAAGGTCGAATGGCAATGCTGAAAGTGAAGGAGAAACCAGAGCTGGATAGCGATGACGAGCCAGAATAGTTGGAACTGCGTTAATAGAATTTTCATTTCGCTATTATGAGGTGAACTTCAGCGATCATGTAATGATTGCCACTTGCACGTTTTCACTAGTCGCTTCATTCTGTTATTAAGTAGTGCTACCGAATATAGGCCTACCAGATTAGGGCAGGAGTGCGTTTCTTAGCTTAGTCACCCTTGACCAGTCTACCTTTTATTCAAACTTGGATACACTACATTGGAAAAACGGGTAACTGGTACCAGAATTCTGAATGGGTGTGCTTGTTATGTACCATGATATACTGTGAAGGCGGTTAAGAATTGCTTTTACAACCCCAGTGGCCATCTCAGTTTTTTTTCATGCCTCCCGTGGGAATGGCGCAGAGCTGAAAAACTCCTTGGTGTTAAGTTAGTGAGCTGTCGACCTTCTCCAGTGAGCCTTTTACTCTCTTCTTGGCCCTTTTGGCGTTTTTTTTTGTCTGTTTGCTGGTATGTTTACCTGGGAGTTTGGTGAGCTTTTCTCTTCACAATTTCTTCTGAAATTTTCATGTATATAAGTTTGTTGACATATGTAATAGTTTCTCACAATCAGCATTCCCACGAACCTGGTAGATTTTCATATTTCTTGCCCATTTGGGTGAATTACATAGCATTTTTCACTTTCTTGTTTATCGTTCACTTTCATAGCCGTGGGCATTTTTTTCAATTTTTTTCTGCTGGGGATTATTAGTTGGTTGCCTTCGATGGTTCGTTGTCGTTGTTCGTTTTTTTTCATGTTTTTAAAAGTTATTGTTATACTTGACAATGGAACTAAAAACTTTGTGAAAGGTTCATTTGTTCTCATAATGGTAATTTAATCCATTGATCTTTTTCTGGCGATCTTTTTCCAGGTTGCTTTCGTCTCATTTTTTCTTCTTTTTTCTCCCTTAGGGTCACCATGTCCAAATATCTGTATAAACAGTATGTACGGCTAATTACGAAATGGCCGAAAGGACGAGTTCAAGAGCCCAGAGAGGTAGGATTTCTCATGTCAGGAAGCAATTTTTCCTACTTGACCCACTCATCGGAGGGAGACGGACAAGAGATCGCAACTTGCCCACGACGCCGCGCGATAAACTAAGGATGTCCATCCGTTTGTCGCTGTGAGCAGCCGAACTCATAAGAATTCAAGCGGTGGTAAGACTGCATATGTCAATCCTTTCCGTCCATTTGACATTCAACTTCGAACAGCCAGGGAGTGAACTCGTCTCTAGGGGGAGAGGCGTTGATCGCCACGTCCATCAGCGCAGGTTACGATTGTCTTGCTGTTCGCTCACCTTACTACAGCACTTCCACGTTAGAGCAATCAGGTGCGGGTACACATGCAGTGTAGGTGCAACATAAATGTAACGTCCCACACCCTAACGCCTATTAATCTTCACAATTTTCAGAGATCTGGCAGTTTTTCTTGCCAAGGAAGTGGAGCGGCAGTTCAATACCGAACCGTCCAGCCTAGACATTGGCCTTTGCGAGAGGCGCTTTCGAGGTGAGAGGTGGTTGCTTGATTTCTACGAAACGACCATTCTGTAGTTCATATTACTAGTATTTAGAAGATAATTAGGATAGACAGCGACCAGCGTAATTGTGTGGATGGTTTTTGATCTAAGGGGGGGGGGGGAGGGGGAGAGTGTGGGTTCTGCTTGGCTACAGCACCATTTCCATTGGTAGAATGGAATGGTTCGCGCCAATCAAGCCCTCTCCTCGTCCGGCACACCCCAGTATCCTCAGCAAACAAATTTGTGCTCTGTCGGGGCTTACCTAACGTTGCAGAGCGGTACGACTTTAATTGAAAGAACCAAGAAAAAAGAACGGTCTACTAATCGAAGAGGAGTTAATGTACTTTGGTTACTGAGTCAGAGGCGGTGTAGTGGTTAATGGTCCGATTACCACGCTTGATGTGCGGATGCCAAATCCCGGAAGCTTCCGCCCAGGTCTGCGCGGGACAGTGAATTGCGACCAGGCATCCTCTGGGCGGAAACACTGACATGGGCATTGGCTGGCTCACGCAGATCGTTGTCTAGACCACCGCATCCAGTGAGCCACGACTCTGCTACTCTTTTGAATAGAATAAGAATGCTTACCACATCCCAAAGACCGGTTGGCCTCAGTTTCAGCCGGCTCAAAGCGCTCCTTTAAGCAAGATTTACCTTAGATTTAAGAGGTTGATCAGCACTTACTGAGGTAGGTATTAAGTCGAATAGTTGTACAACGAGGAAATGCTCAAGGGGGAGGGGGGGGGGCGCGGAGAGTGGATTCCAGGCTCCGCATTTGTTAGGCTACCAGCTCCGGGGAAAATCCGTTCTCAATGGTCAACTTATCTTTCCATGTCATGGCTAGTTTTCTTCATTTTGTGAAAGTGCGTTGACGCAATTATAGCATTCGCGCATTCTTGACGGAACTGCTGTTGGTTACCTATCGGTTCATGAATAATAACTTTCTCTACAATTCAATTATACTACCAACTTGAGAAAATGACGGTTGTTGGTGCGTTGCCCTTGACAACACTGCTGCTAGAATGTCATTTCGTACGGTTCCCAGTTTCGTTCGCCCACAAGCTGGTCGCTGTCTGTTTCTCCATTACATGTCTCGTTAATTGCATAAAAGTAGCCATTGTTGGATAATTGTAGCTCTCGAGCAAATACATACGAACACGACGGCCAAATTATATCCACATCAGTACAAATCAGGGGTTTTTGGACTCAATTTGGAGCAATTACAGGTACTTTGGTGATTATCTTGCTTCTCTCTTCATTGCTATCGTTCTCTAACAATGGATGTGATTTACAGTATTCTGGGTTGATTTTTTTGCTCACATTCTTCACTCTAACGTTGGAATAGACATTTTTTTTCTCCATATTCTCTGAAAATACACTTTCATGAAGAAAACTGAGTCCGTCAGTGAAGGGGGTAGGTGGGATAGGGTTTCAACGATTATGTCATTTTCAGGAAGTAATGGTTGATGAAGAGTATCCTGAGCTCCTAAAAATTACCTCCAGCACTTGTCGTCTCATTGTCATAGAAATTGCATTGGTGCTCGTCAACCCAAATTATTCGAGCAAAATGGTCCGCTGAGCATTCTCCTTCGTCGAACGGGATACAAAAGCGTTGTTCTCTTTTCCTTGCCGTTCTTTTCGTGCAGAGCTATCGTGAAGAAATCTCACTGACGGTCACTGTGATGCTCGTTCAGGGCACGGCTTGTGCTGGATGGGGAGTCGTATTTGGCCACTAGGCGGAGGCCTCATCATATTTGACACAATATTGGGGAGGGGGGGGAAGGGTGTTGGCACCCGTTCCCCTTTTGTGCACGGCCACGTGGTAGGACTTACCGTACACAGCGTATTTCTGTTAGAAGAATTGAATGACAACCAGGGCATACCATTGGTTGGGGATTTTAGTCGAGTCTCTACGACCTTCCCTTTTTCGGGGTTGGTACGACCCTCCTCCCCCCGCTCTGGAACTCTGTCACTCCTCATCGACTCGAGCCGTCGAGCGAGGTGGGGGGGAGTAAATAGCACATGTGAAACAGCAAAAGCTGCGTGACAATACGACCACCCCCCCCCCCTTCTACTCGATTCCGTGTTTGCCCAATTCCCTTCACTCTTTCCAAGATTTCTTCGAAATTTCCCCACTTTTACCCGCTCGCTGTCGAGCGCACGAAGGTATATATTGTAGTACGCATGAAACAGGGAACCCACCAAAAGTCAACCCACCTTTCCCACCACTCCTAGAAAGGCCGAAAATGGATACTAACCCTCCCCCCCTTCCAACAATGAGCAAATACGACCCCCCCTTTTTTTAACAACATCTTTGAAGCGAGAAAGATCGCTTTTCTGGCCCAAATACGACCCCCTCTTCTGACGGGCAAATACAACCCCCCCCCGGTGGGGATTCCCCAACGAAGATCGCTGCCCTGATGATAATCATCCTACGGATGCCAGAGTACCAAAGACTCTCGGTCAACCATATATTCATCGAAAAACTCGCATAAGTGACCTGCATTTACTCAATCCTTTAGCGACAGCCTCTTCCTAGATCGTTTAGATCCTTCACTGCAGCTGCACAAAGAACTACCGGATTTCTGCCTATCTCGCCGGTTCTTCTGCAAAGTAAGGTAACACCTCAGGGCGTCGTCTTCCTGACGACGCCGTTGGATATACTGCGGATGATCCTGGCCTGCGCAAAATGCCGCATTCTCTAAGGCTGGAAGAGCCAAGAAGGAAACGAAGAAATTCACTGGCAACGGTCTTCCGTTCATGCGGTGTGGCTGGCAGCCTTAGGAACGACAGCCTGGTCAGAATGTTGGGCACGTTAAACCTACCAGCTTCGCTGGCACAAAAAGATACAACATCTCAGTTTGTTTATTTATTTCATAGCGGTTCCCATCAAGCCGAACTGCGCTGACAATGTTTATAGTTAAAGTGGTTTCCCTCCACTTTATTAGAGTCCAGCGGAATACCTTCCCTTTCCCATTGATTGCGACTGACTTGACTACTTTCTTCGATCTGATCCCTCGTTTTAGCCGCCCGTGTACCCAGTTTGCACTCGTAATACGTCATAGAACGTTTTTGCTCCGGCTTCATTTCGCGACAAATATAGACAACAATGTCTAAGTTAGCACGCAAGAAGCGAGGCATTCAAAAGGCGTGAAAATCGCGATCATTCCAAGCGTAAAGTTATTCTCAGGACAACACTTTGTGAAACTTTCGTACCAACCTACTTCTCATAGCTTCAGTCTACAACTGTAGTTCTCGATTATTACTTGGCAAAGGCTAGCATATTGTTGGGAGGGGCGGGAGCATTAGTAGTCACCTGGCTTGATACAGGCATCTTGTGAAGCCTGTTAATACCCGTCGTCAAAGTGGCCCACTTGCACCATTTCACGTCCCTACAAATGTTCACAGGTTTTGCGAAAGGAGACCTGTTAGGTAGTGCGAACTAGCCAAAGGAATTAGCGAAAGTGGCAAAATGCCCCTACCAAGCCGTAGAACGTCTTCGTAGAACACAATCATCAAGCGAAAGGGTTGTCGATTTATCTCTTTCAACATTTAGTCCTTGTATTCTGACTGAATCATTTGAGACCAGTTTGAGCTTCTTCAGCGAAGGTGGCGTCTTTAAACCCAGGTGGGGGATACTTGGCAGTGCTATCTGAGTTTGATCTGGTTTGATCTTAGTATAAGAGACGTGTTGAGATTTGATTCTGAAAACCGAATTCGGTTCGATAGTTAGTGAATCGGATGGCTATAGTTACATTTTTATTTTCACCACTTGTTTGGCGCTTAAGGCTCGAAAAAAGATCCTTTCAGGGGTATTTCGGCTACGGGGGGTGTATTTTTGCACTTATGCTTCTTCCCATTTACGTTCGACTCACGAGAGCGTTTCGTGATGCTTATCAAGATTCGACAGTGGTGGTCGACGAGCTTGCTGCAGCTTTTGCAACAGTTCACAGGTTTCACCAGAGTGAGACTTGTAAACCAGAACTAGTGAAGCAGCGAAAGTTCAAAAAGCCCCTCTCACCGTCGCCAAATTGCGCTTTTTCATGCTGCTGTGCCTCCTGATGTTTCTAGGTTCTCAGGTTCTTAGAACGTTAGGTCGTTGAAAGAAGTTCTACACCAAAAAACCTTGAGAGGCAAGCGGTATAAACAAAGTAAGCAATGATCCCGAGGCTGTAATAACGGAGATGCTGAAGAGCAAAAAAAAAAGAATTTTCCCCCGGGGACGCTTTCAATGTAGAGCTCTGTTTTTCTATACTGTTACTCCAAACCAGTCTGTGTACATAAGAAAAGTACTCTGCAGTTCGTTCTACTTTAGTTCACATCAGGCGGCAGATTTGATCGGAAAGCGCTACCTGCCTTTGTATCCGAGTTAATGAAATCTTGTAGTCAACGCAATTACGTGTAATGTTTTGTAGAAAATTATGTGAATGTCAAATATCCGCTGTCTTTTTTCTTGAAACTATGGCTCAAGTATTAAGTAAGTCAGAATTCTAGATCTCTGCTGTCGTAGATACTGTATTAAGCTGCGACTGATGGATGAGCATGCGTAAACTTGTGAGTATTCGCTTCCAAATTCTCTCTGTCCTCAACTGTAGCTGAGCACATGTGTAGTAGCCATGTTGCAAGCCTCTTCATGACAATTTGTTCCATGACCGATGTTTTTTTTTGTCGCTTCACTCTCCCATTCACTGCGTTCTCCTCTTCCTAGGCAATCCTTTGCGCCATACCGCCTCTCCTGCGAAGCAAAGGCATCCCCTTGAGTATTCGCACCACTAACAGGGAAGTCCGGCCAACTTACCATGCGAATTGAACCCTGGGTAGATCGATAGAGATCCCAGCGGATAGTTATACAATATAGATAGTAAAACTCGCAACCTGCAACTTAGCAACCACAAGCTTATGAAGCCGCATAAAGTTTGTAAGTGGTGGGCAGTAGCGTGGAGGCTGGGGTGAGCTGTGGCATAAGCGCAGGGAATCGCATACGTCGAATCGAGTCGTGGTGGTTCAGTGGTAAGATTCGACATTAGAGGACTCGATTCGACATATGCTGTGCCAGTACAAACTTTACCTGCTCATAAATTGCTTGTGAAATGCAGGTTGCAGTTTTGCTGTCTATATTTGTAAATAACCTTAAAACTCTACCGATCTACCCAGGTCTCCACTCGAAGTTTGGTAAATTGGCGGACTTCCCCGGTAAGTAAGCTTTTTTGGTACAGTGCGGTAAGAAGAAAGTTACACATACAGTTATCGATCGAACCGACTGATACTGAAAGTGAGTAGCTTCCTAGCAGTGTTAGAGCCATCGTGATGTGAAATGGCCCTGGCCACTACGACTCTCCACCCCACCGAAATTTCCTCATCTTTCCTCATTGACCTCCTCTACCCTACCTAACACCTATCTATCTAGTTTTTATAAGTTCCTACCACTTTTCCAAAAAAATTCGTGTCCCCTCCCACATCGAGAATGTCGTCGAGTGGGAGGCGGGAGGAGTGGGAGGGTGGCTAATTAACTGCTATTTCCAACTGTCAAGAATGAGATGGCTTTGCTACAATATCTCTTCTTCCTTCTTTTATTTTTCCTGTTTTAGCCCCTGGAACATGGAACAATGACGGATCTCCGTGGATAGATAGACGGATAGTCCGGCAGAGTACAGAACAATAAGATAGACGGCAGATTAGCACTCTAAAAGTTCATATACAATCGATGTCCCGTAGATAGAGAGCCGTGGCTGCCCCGTACCTTCATTTTAAACTTTCTTTGACATTGCGCTTCTGGTGTAAGGATGTTGCCGTCTGTGGCAAATGCAGTCATGTCTTCGTTCAGCCCAAGACAGGATGAGAGTAGCCTAAAATCTGAATATCACGCGAAAAGCATCTGCCGTCATAAAACTTACTCAGAAACGCGCTGTCAGTAAGTCTAGAATTACTACGATGGAAATAATTGCAGATTCCTAGCGGCCCCTGTAATTTATCGCCGTTTGTTTACAGGTAACTGGCAAAGTGTGTTTATCTCGGAAGTTAGTCAATATCGTATAATCTCATATTGTCTAGTATGTAGGTTTAACATTTTCTCATAATACAGTCGTCTAATTACGTCCTCGCTCTCGCCTTAGGCTTCACTATATCTTTGAAGGCACATTCCGCGATTACCTGATAGGTAAAACCTCCTTCTATTATAAGTATTGCGGTCGCAGTCGTTAAATACATATAGTCATGATCCCTGCAAACGACATGACGAGTTGAGGGGCGTAAGGTGGACCGCACCCCGTATAGTCTTTCCGCCAATATTGTGTTCAACTCAGCTGGCCTTCATTTGGTTTGAATTGCGCGGCCGCATTGGAAGCGCTCCAATCCACGCCTTGTCACGTGCCCTACTCGCTCCGTGCAAGCGAGTTCCGTACGTACAGTTTTCTCACGGTTTGAATTGAGTAAATCAATCAGCCTGCTGTCATCATTTACCCCGTAAGAAGCCCTCATAATGTGAGCGCAAGCCTTCAGCCATTTTGGGCGAGATCTCCACTGATCTGACTATCTTATTACACAACTTCAATCCCTTGCTCCGTTGATTCCTGAAGCATC